GGGACCACCAAGAGCCCATTGGGGACCCCACGACGAGGGGGAATGTGACTGAAAGGAATGAGCGGTGGGGGGTCCATAGTGCAGCTACCCTCTGTTGCCAGCTGGGCCTCCCAGAAGGATCATTCAGAGAGAGCTCGTCTGCAGAAACATTGCAGTGGCTCTTGAGGAGGTGAGCCCAGCCTCCTTCCTAGATGCCAAGCACCTGGACTAGCTGCTCACAGGGGCTTGGATTCTAGGGCCCTGTCAGACCCCAGGAGGTGGGGAGGCCCTTTGAGCATCTGGGGGATGAGGGCTAGAGCCCCGCAAGGCCTGGGCTCTGAGGCTTAGGGTAAGCAGGGACTTCAGGGGCTGATCCTGCCACTTCCATGTGCATAGTGGTCCGCTGTCCCTTTGGAGGGTGGTGAGGGATGGGCACAGGAGTACGGCGGACCCACCTGGGTCCAAATGCCCCTCTGCTGATTTCCTGGGGCATGGCAGCCCCTTTGGGTCTTGTGTGCTGGTTTCTGCAATGGGACCAGACATCTGAGGAGGAATTGGCTATATGTCCTGGAGACCTGGGGACCTCAGAGGAAGCAGGAGAGCACTGGGCCTTTATGATCTCAGGCAGCCTCTGTCTCTCTCTGAGCCTCGATTTCCCCATCTGTTAAAAGAGGATTCCAGACCCAAAGTGCTCTGGGGCTGCATGGCAAGAACAAAGTCTCTGAGCTTTCACCCAAGCTGTTGGCAAATATTAACTGAGCACACACTCTGTGCCAGGCACTATTGTAGGTGCTTCATTCTGCTCTCAGAACTTCTGTTCTAGATGAAGAGACAGAGGTTAAACAAGAGAGCAAATACCCCAACAAAAAGTAGAAAGACTGGGGCAAGGGCTCTTTGTTGAGGTTCACAGAGCAGACTCTTGCAAAGTCCTGCAGGAAGAAACCCCAGGCAGACAGAACAGCATGTGCAAAGTCCCTGAGATGGGAAGGAGACTGGTGTGTTCTGAAGGTCCAGTGGCTGGAGCCTGGTGACCTGGGGTGGGAAAGGAGCAGTTCAGGGGTGCCGGAGAGGAGAAAATGAGGCTGGAAGTGTGACAGGGCCAGAGGCTACAGGGCCTGAGTCCAACCCCTGAGTCCCAGAAATCCAAGTGGCCAGCACACAGGAGGTATGCCAGCAGTGCCTGCTGCATGAAGAAATGGACAAAGAGTGAATGAGTGACTCCTGGCTGGGTCCCTAACTCATTGTGTGACCTTGGGCAAGTGTATTTCCCTCCCTGGGGCTTAGTTTCACTGCTACTAAGACACCCTGAGTTGTCATTATTTTCAGCGAACGGCTGGGCTGGGTGTCTGGCTGCAGCAGGCCCTTGTGTATGTTGGCGCCTTCCTCTTCCCAGGACTGTGAGGGACACGTCCAGCATCCCCCCTGGGCCTAGTGGGGAATGTGTGTTCCCCAGGCTGAAGAGGCAGCAGCCCCTGGGGGCACAGAAGACCCTCAGCTCAGGCCTTTGACTCCTGTGACAGTTGGGTACTTCAGACCCTTTTCCTGCCCCATCTGGCATTCTTTAGGACCCCAGAGGCCCCAGGGCCCACCTCCTGCTCCGCCCACTGGCCTCCCTTCTCCCTCTGTCCAGGGGATGGCCTCCTGTCCTGCAGGGTTGGGGGCTGGACTTGGGGAGGAGGAGGAGGAGGGACAGAAAAGGAAGGTCAGTGGAGAGGCTGAAAGCCAGTGTGCATCCAGCCTCCACCCTCTGTGGGTGGGCAGTGCAGAGTGCCCAGGCCCCAGGCTATGGGAGCAAGATGAAGGTGGACAGAGGTGGGCAGTGTGCAGGTAGGAAGAAGCCCAGGCCCAAGGGTCACCCAAACACATGGTGTGGAGAGTCCAGGCAGGCAGCCTGCTTCTCAAGTCCTTACTGGGTCATCCAGAGGGCCAGGCCAGATGCCCCAGCTGGAAGGGTCCCTGGGGACAGACCTGCTTTCTGGGGCCATGCACCGGCCACCCACCCCATGACTTCAGACTCCACAATAGTTATTAACATTTATCAGGATATTTCACAGGAACATCTGAGTTTCTTTCATCTCCTGAAAAGCTGGAAGCTCTGGCCACACAGGTCCATGCCTGCGTGGGGACAGCTGGCAGAGGCTCCCCTATATCACCATGACTGCTGGCCTCCAGCATGCCCGTCACGGGGGTCTGTGTTGAGACTTGCTGGAGACACCAGGCCCTGTCTCCAGCTCTGCCCTGGTTGCCCCCATCGCAGCCAACTGGATCTGTTAAGACCCCCAAGCCTGCCTCGTGGCTCTTGCCTTCTGGAGCATCACCAAATGAGACCCCGTGGAGATCCCACAACCAGGCCTTGTCTCCCCCATGCTCCCTCTGCTCCTCGCTGTGTGTCACGGGCTCCTCCAGGCCTTGGTGACCCTGCACTCAACTTAGGCACCCTTCCTGCAACCCCTCCCCCAGGAGGGGTTGGGAGTTGGCTGGGAGTAGGGCTCCTAGGGACCTCCTGCCACACCCCCTGCCATGCCCACTCCCTTTCCCTGCTTCTGTTCCTCCCCTGTGGCTGCACATCTTCTCAATGTCTCAATGGGAATAGCCACTCCAAACAGAGGGATTTCCTTTCCTCTGTGTTCTCAGGGCCCAGCACAGTCCAAAATGGACAGTGAGGACATTTTTCCGGGTCCTGCTGCAGCCACAGCCTTTGGGACGCCTCCTGCTTTCACCCTTGTAGCTGGCCCCAGGACATATGGACCGTGATGGAATATAATGTCCTGGTGTACCCCGAGCTGCTAGGGACAGAATGCCCATCTTGCCAGCCTTCCGATGTGCTGACTGAGGACAGGACCCTCCTGAAATTACTGTGGAAGCTTGCGTGCCGGGCCCCCCAGGCTGTTGGGTGGGAGAGGATAGGGCTCAGGTCTGCCCTGGGGCACAGAGAGCTCACTGGGGACCAGCCACGGGGACCCTGGGCGGGAACCCACAGTGGGGGCCACGGGTGAGGACCCTGGATGGGGGGCCCAGTCTTGCCCCCTCAGACCCCAGCAGAGTGGCACCATGTCCAGCAGGTCAATTCCAGCTGCCCACTTGGTCTGGAACTGTGGGACTCTTGGGGACATCCTTTCTGTGACTGTTTCCTCAACTGTCAAGTGGGAACATCCTGGGGTTTAGGTGAGACTGGAGTATTACAGAGTTGACCTTGAGAGGGAGCCCCACTAGGCCCGCTCAGTCAGTGCATGAGGCAGAGAGAGCAGAGCTCCGAGGGAGAAGGGGCAGGACCAGCGGAAAGAGGCCGGCTGGGCTCCAGGTCCCTTCAATGCCTCTGACACCTGCTGTCCCTGCCTTGGCTCCATGGGCAGGGACTTTGCTGTATTTCCTTGAGTAAGAGCACAGTTGGAAGGGCCTGGCCTCCCCTTCCCAGTGGGCAAGTTGCTGGTATCAAGCAGCTTCAGAACACCCACTGCAGGGTGGTGAGCTCTCACAGATGCAGGATTGAGGCCCAGGTATGCAGCAGGTATACAGCTGCAGCAGCATCCAGGCATAGCAGGGTGGGTATGTGGGGGACGGCACTGACTCATGACTAAGCTCACCTGTGCCCTGCCCACCTCACCTGGGTCTCTACTTTATCCGTGTCTTGTCCTACCTCACCTGGACCCTGACCACCTCACCTGGGCCCTGCCCACTTCACCTGGGTCCCAACTCACCTGTGCCCTGAGCACCTCACCTGGGCCCTGTCACTCCTTGCCTGGGCCCCATCCCTGCCTCACCCATGACCAGTCATCCATTTCCGGCTCCCACAATGACCCTCTCAGCCCACAGGTATGTGCCCTGCAAGTTTTCCCATGGCTGGGCAGTGACAGGCATCCCTTCAGGGTGCCTTCCGGATGTTAGAGAGATGGGGGTCCCAAGGGACTGGACACCCCTCAGTCATCAGTTCCTAGGTCCCTCTGCTCTCCCTCAAGGCCCTTGGAGCTCTGGTGCAAATAGACCTTCCTGACATCTTTGTGAGTAGCCAGCACTCCCACGATCCCATATCTAAGTCTGGCTCCACTTGCTACAGGGGCAAATGGCCCTGTCTACCTCACTAGCATGACCAGGGACACAGAGCAGGTCTCCAGGCATGGCACCTTGTCTGAGGCCCCGCTGTCTAATGCCGCTGCATCCTGGGGCAACCACAGGGGTGTTACTTGTACCCTGCAGGCCTGGATTGGGGTCCAGGGCATCATTACCGGCTGTGCCCATCTGTTACCCTCATTCTCCATCCAATCACCAGCAGGCCCACTGTGGGGAGACCCTGCTCCAAGGCTGTGTCCACCTGTTGGCTGCCAGCATTTATTTATGTAGATAAGCACTGTCCACCACCGACCAGGCAAGGCAGGCACAAATCTCAGCCCACAAATCACGACGCCTGTGTGGTCCTCCTGTAGTTTCACAGCATGGTTATTCAGGAACCCACCACTTGCTCCCTTGGGCATCTCCAAATGGGGTGGCGAGCTACGAGGTGGCACAGGGTGTTCCCAGTCCCCAGGAGAGGAAAGAGGAGAGAGGTGGAGTCCAGGGGGCCAGTATGGTTCAGCTCACATGGATGTAGATGGTATAGATGGGTGGGCAACCATCAGGAGGGGTGGCATGACTGCAGACATCCACCAGGTGTCCCTGGGCACCACCCATGAGCTCCTTCTGTCTTCCGGCGCAGATGACCCCTCACTGCCCACTCAGATGGAGTTTTCTTGACAGTCACCCCACGCCCCACTCTGGGCCACACTGCTGGGCCTGCAGGCAGAGGCCCGGGTCTTTGAGGGACGTGCTGGGTGACCCTGGGCAATTGGCTGCCCCTGTTTGGGCCTCATTTTTCTCCTCTCTGACATGGAGGAACCCTCCAGGGCCAAGTGCTATGTGGCCTGTTGGTCCCTCAGCAATCCAGGCTCCCTTCATGCCTGCATGTGGCCTGATGCCACCTCTCAGATGAGTACAGGCCCTGCCACGGTGGCTGTACAGCTAGGAGACACGGCAGGCAGAGACTCAGCTCATGGGGCAGCTGGGGCCTGGGGCTGCTGGGCCCCTGGGCTGGCCTGGGCCAGGTGCCCGTGGGCTGCTGAGCTCAGGGCCTCCAGCCACTGCTGCTGCAGCTCGGCGGATGGGGCACTCAGGTACAAAGACTGTTGGGCCTGCTGCAGCTGCCACATGTGTCCAGCATCCAGTCTCTCTGCGGGGTCTGGCACACTCACCCTGCAGCCAGAGAGGGGGATGGCATGCAGCAGCTGGCCATCCTGCAGAAAAGGAGAGGAGCGTCAGCACCCCGGCCTCTGGAGTCCTGGCATCACTAAATACCATCTCCCACAAGTGGGCAGCAGAAGGGTGATTCTGGACAGCCAGGGAGACTGAGGCCCTAGGGTCACATGAGCCACCCACCACGTGGGGTTGGCCCCAGGCTGCATAGCCCAGGCCTATCTGGGCGCCGCGGGCTTGAGGCTGTGGGCTGGTGGAGCAGGGTGGACCCCCACCCCCAGTGTGGCCCAGCAGACAGAGGACACACCTGGCTGCCTCCTCGAAGGTGCAGCATCAACTCCAGGGAGTCCGACTCAGAGATGGCAGCCCACACCTTGCTCCAGGCTGTGCCGCCATCCGACACAAGCAGGGGGCCACAGGGCAGGCTGGGCGGGGGGTCCACAATGGCTGGCTTCTGGGGACACAGAGGACAAGTCAGGTGGAGTCTCCCTTGTAAGAGCCACTCTCCAGGAAGCACCAAGGCTGAAGCTCTGGGGGGAGAGAGGAGGGGGAGACAGACTGGACAAGGCCTGGGCCAGCCTGAGCTTCCCCAGGGTCACTGCAAGGCCACTTGGGATTGGGCTGGACCTTCTAGGCAGTGAGACCACAAGAAGGGTCAGGACAGAAATAAAGATAAGGTAGGAAAAAATGGAACAGCAGGGAACCAGAATGTGGCAGCTGTTGATGATTTCCCTGTACACACACACACCTCTCACACATAACATCACACACACTACACACATTCACATCCTCCAGGACTATGAAGAAATAAGTTTCTGTCATTTAAGCTGTCCATCCTGTGGTATTTGTTATACAGCCTGAGCTGACTAATGCACCATCTAACTCCTGAGTGCAAATGGTTCCCAAGCTCTCGGCCATGACTGGATCCTAAGAGCCCAACATGCACACATGTGATATTTGGCATTCAACTGCTAGCTACTCTCAGTGGCCTATGGACCCAACTGAGCCCTACCAGTCCTGGTCCCAGGGAAGGCGACAGCGCTAGGAGCACAGTCTGTCAAGGCTTCTGGGATCTTGTGTCTGGAAGGCTCACCAGCCCCAGCCCACCCACCTCTGTGCTCTGCTTGGGCTCCAAGGGCTCCTCGAGGCTGGGGCTCGAGGGGGCCACTGGCTGGGTCAGGAAACACTCTCGGCAGACACGGCTCTGCCTGCCGTTCTCGGCCTTGAACTCGGAGCACTTCCCACAGATGACCTGCAAGACAAGGGCACCTGTGACCCCAATGCCCAGGGACAGAAGGCTATCCAGAAGGAGGCTGGAAGGAGAGGTGTAACGGCATGTGGAGGGGAAGGGCTTGTCTGTGAGCCATGGGAGTCGGGAGCCTTGTCCACAGGGCAGAGACCCCAAGTCTGGCCCCGGCTGGGCCTCCAGAGCCTGCCTTCTTGCTCAGAAGTTCCAGGATCCAGGGGTCTGTGTGCATGGAAAGAAGATTTGGAGGAGGAACTAAGCACATGGAGGCCCAGCAGCTGGCCTCCTCCCACCTGGACTCACCGCCCCACACAACTTGCAGTGGTGCTTCCTTTTGGTAATGGAGTTGAAGGTCTCACCGCATCTGCTGCAGCCCTGCTTCTCCTTGTCACGTCTGGTCTTAGAGGACCCTCTCCTGGGCTCAAGCTGTGGGAGGCAAACGGCTGCAGTCAGCTTCCCAGCGCATGTGGAGTGGCAGCTGTGCGATACACAGGCAATGCACATGCAGGGCAAGAAAGCCGGACGTGCAGAAGGGAATTAAGCAGGAGCCACACTGGCCATGGCCCCCTGCCCAGCCTCACTCCCCAGAAGCTGCCCTGCTGTCACACGGGGTAAGATTCCAAGGGGAACAGGAACTCTATGCTTGGAATGACTTGTCCCACCACGGAGGTCAGTGACTCTGCGTGTCTGCAAAGATAACAACCGGAACCCACACTGGGGGAAACGGTGGCTGCTCTGCACAGGAGCCCAGACGCCAAGGACTGGGGTGTCTGCACCCAGCATCCAGCCAGGTGGCCCTTGCTTCCATGCTCTGTCCTTTATTGGACCCCAGAGCATGGTGCCTGCTCCATGCCAGGCACTCAGAGGTGTGCAGTTGCCCGCCCAACACGTGTGAGAGCACTCTCCTGGGGTGGGAGCAGGGTCAGGGGCTGGACTCCCCTCTCTATCTCCTCCGATGCTGCCTGAATTTCCCACAAAAGAGGGCAGTGATGAGTCCTTTCAGCAAGACAATGGGAAGTCATGAAACATGGTGTGTGTTCAGAGAGGTTAGAAGATCTTTAAGACTAGTCACAAGAACACACTATAAAATGCTTTTACTTCTTTTTTGTTTGTTTTCTTTTACGTTTAAACAAGCTGTTTTGTGTAAGGTTTCTCAAAAAGTTTTACAAGAACCACATCAAACTCCTTGGAGCAAAGAGGAATTGGAGAGTGGCAGGCAGCAGTGGGAGAGAGGTTTTCATTTTATTCTATCACTTTACTTTTTTTTTTAAAAAAGTATTTATTCCTTTTTTAGTTAAACATATTTACAAATTTTAAAAAATCTGATGCAGTCTAAAACTAAGGAACAGGTATATAAATCATACATGGGCGGTAGATGTCAAGGCGACATGTTGGAAGACTGTTTAAAGGTGTCAAGTTATATTGCTAAGGGAAACAAGCAAGTTGCAAAATAATGTACAGTAGCGTATAATGTTTATACCAAAAAGAGTACGTGCATGAAACAAAGACCGGAAGGAAGCACACCCTGATGATCTTATTGGCTGTTTGGGGTAGAGTAAATCTTATCTGACTCTCTTATCTGGATTTTCTCAAGTGTTCACCGAGAACAGCTTGTGAAAGAGGAAGAAAACCAATAGACACATAGAAAAGCAAACCAGCCACTCACTGACCAGCCCCCCTAACCCCCCCACCTCCTGCCACACATTCCCATTGAGGACTGTGTTCCCTCTGCACTGTGGACAGTGGTTTGAGAGCTGGGTGAGGGAACCTATGTGGTCCACTCTGGCTGCCTACCCCTGGCCATAGTGACATCAGTCGTGTCCAGGACCCCAGCCCCACCAGATGCAAGGGCTTGGGAGGTGAGCAGGAGGCAGGAGGGAGTGAAGGTGGGAGTGGGCACCGACCATGCAGGGTGAGGCTGGGGTGGGGGCTCAGTAGCGCTGTCTGATTAGGTTTCCCCATATGATTAGGAGTGGTGCAAGTTGGGGGACAGCTCCCAGGCCCTTGCCCTGCCCCTCATCAGCCATGATACCCTGCACAAGTCACTTTTCCTCCCCAAGCTTGGTTTCCTCATCTGTAAAGTGGGGTGAGGAGCCGCCCCTGGCCCTGAACCCCGTCACAGCACAAGAATCCTGACTGGTTTTCCATGTTACCATGGCTCTCAGGAAATGCCCCGTCGTTTGATGAAACAGCTTTCTAGCTTTGAACCGCCCCAGCCCCTTAGCATTTCCTCTCTGTGTGGGCAGAGGGCTCTGGGGTCCCAGCAGAAAACACAGTCAATTCACCACAAACTTCAGATTTTGAAGAAATGTCACAGATATGTATCAAATTCCCCAGGATGTCAGAGCTAGCATGGCTACTAGAAGTGCTTGTCTCAACCTCTCCCCTGCACAGATGGGGAAACTGAGGCCCAGAGACACTTTTTCTGTTTAAAAGAGAAACACTTAAAATAAGTTTAACATTAGTGTTTCTAAGCAGAATAAAATGAGGTCTGAGATTTGTTTTAAAATATTCCAGAAGAAAGAGGAGTATGTGGGGGTGGGGTGAGGATAGGGGTGGAAAGACAGAGAAAACATGAACAGCACAAAGCTGAAGTTGCTCCAGGCTGGTGTGGGGGTCTCGCTGACTCTGGTATTTCTACTTGTGTGTGTCCAAAGCTTCCCTAATAAAAACTGGAACAAAATAAGTTTAATGTAAACTCTGCACGTTTAAGGAGAAAGAGATGCACTGGTTGGGGGTGAGGGGGACAGAAGGGAGGGGCTTGGGCACTGGAGGCTGGTACGGGCTGAATTGTGTCCCCCAAAAGTCATAGTTTGCAGTTCTAATCCCCAGCACCTCGGAATGTGACTGTATTTGGAGAGAGGGCCTTTAAAGAGGTGATTAAGGTAAAATGAGGTCACTAGGGTGGGCCTTAATCCAATATAACCAGTGTCCTTATAAGAAGACGAGATTTAGGACATGGACACACACAGAGGCAAGCCTATGTGAGGACACAGGGAGAAGATGGCTATCTACATGCCAAGGAGAGATGCCTGTGAACAAAAAAGGAACAAAGAGTGCCACTCATCATCCAGTTATATAAGGGTTAAGATGCACTCACTGCAGTCACCCACGACAGTGCACCCTGGAGGGAATTCAGGATGAGAAAACAAGAAGAGGCATTCTGTGTGTTGGAGAAACAGGCCCCGAGATAGATGCACATCTCAGAAAGAATTTCAGTGACCGCAGATTCTTGCATCTTCCCATGCAGAGAAAATCACTTAAAAGTATTAACTTAAGATATCTGTTCTTTGTGATATAGCAGGAATCTTTTACCAAAATGTATGCTTGACTACATGTATTTCCTAGCCAAAAAATTCGTACATATACTGGCTCCTCCCCTCCCTCTTACAAGCAGTTCCTCAGAGCTGTCTCCCAGGCTATAGTCCTCAGTAAGATCCTGAATAAAACTTAAACTCAACTCTAAGTTGTGTGTTTTTCTTTAAGTCGACAGGCCTCAGGAGAAACCAGACCTACCAACACCTTGATCCTGGACTTCCAGCCTTCAGAACTGTTAGAGAATAAGTGTCTGTGGCACTTTGTTAAGTAGCCTGAGCACACTAATTCTGGCCTATGCTTCCAAGCTCTGCTGCCTCTGCTCATAGACCCCACTGTGGGCCCCACCACTGTGAGGCCAGTGCTGGCCACCTGGTACGAGGAGCCCTGGGACCAGCTGGTGCCTCTGAGGATGATAGGGACACTTGCTCTGCCCAAGACCCCATCACCCTCCTCCTCCATCTCATGACCCCTGACCCCATGGACACTGGATGTAAGAAAACCTTGGGCCCCCTCTCAGTTTATTCCATGAAGCTCAGGACCACAGAGCCCTGTAGGTGGAAAATGGGCGGCACAGACCCGACAAGCAATACTGACACTCCCCGCAGCCACATGCCTTACTGGAGGCCACCCCTGTCACCTGGCCTTGGCTGCCAGCCACACTCTAGCCCTGAGGCACATCTGTCTGCCCCACTCAGGGATCCTTCCCTTGAGACCACCTCTCAGGACTGCTGGGGCTCAGACATGAGAAGAGAGAGGAGGGGCCATCCCTGGGTCTGCTGTGGCCCAGGAGCCTCAGCCCTCTACCAACCTTCATGGTGACCCTGCCATGCCTGTTTTCCAGGTGAGGACACCAAGCGCACTCGAGGTGGGAGTGGTCAGTGGCAGGTGGCTGGATCCGCGTCTTGCCTTCAAGCACTTACATGTGCTGCAGAACCTGGGCTCTCTTGAGACCCTGCGAACAGCGCTGCACAACTGCTGAGAACACAGGGAGGCCACGGGGGCTACTGGGGCATCCCTGAGGGGCAGGGCTGCCCACGAGATAGAGGAGAGGCTGTAGCGGGCCAGGGGTATGTGGCCAAGAGCTCAGCTGCTGAAGGTCAGCAGGGACCCCGTCCTGGCCAGAGGGACCAGAGGGCAGTTCCTAGAGCCGGGCATCTTGGGGCTGGGGCTTGGAAGAGCGACCCATCCTGGCTTCCTTTTTTAGGCTGCAGTTCGGTGATCAGACAGGGTCTGAGTACCAGCTTTCTTGGCTGGGTACCAGCTTCCTCGGTGCTGAAGACTGTAAGCCACCATGGCCCACGCTTGATGCGGCTCCCCCAGGTAGCTCCCGACACCGAGGGCTGGTGACCAGGTGGCTGAGGTGAGCCCACCTGCATGGTTGAGGACAGGTCTTCCTGGCCAGCCATACTTCCTTTTTGGATGAGGATATAGAATAAGTCAACCAAAGGGAGGGGCTCAGATTTTCTCTTTGGATGTGGAGATATTGGAAAGGCCTGGGCCAAGTCTAACCAGGGAGGTGTGGAACCGTGGCTTCCTTAGTAACAGCCAAGCGACTTCACCCAAAGTGCTCCAAATGCACAAGTGTGGGCCTGGGAGGTCTGTGCTGAGGGCCCGTTTTACTCAGCGTTTTCTCTTCAGCAGATTCACTTACAAAGCAGGGAATCAGGAGGGAAATTCAGGTAAGAATTGGGTCCCAAACAGTGGCCCTGATAACCAGCCTCAGAAGATGGAGCCACACAGTTATCATCAGTCCTAGAGGGTGTGGACATAGGCCCGGGTCTTAGGCCCGGCCCTGTGGTGTGTGCAGCCCAGGCCCTCTGCCCTTCACAGGCAGCCCTGTCCTGGGCTTGGGGTGGAAGGGCGGCACTAAGTTTGTGCACGCTGAACGACGGGTGGCAGGGATGGGGCCTTTCACGACATCGTGGAAGGGTCCATATGTTGCCATGGTGGCTCTGGAGCCCAGGGAGGCCTTGACATTTCTGTGCTTCCGTGAAGAGAGACACAACTTTTGCAGAACAGGGAAGTCTTTGGATTCTGCAAGACTCCCTTGCAAAACTTCCTGGTTTGGGTTTAGCTTTTCTTAGGAAAGAGGGCCTTGTGGGAACTGTGCGTCTGAGGACAACACCAGGAAATCAAATGAGCACACCAAGAGTGAGTTTACATTTCCTCTCCAAAAGCTTACATCTGGCATGTTGTAGTAAAGATCACTCTTTCTAGTGCCAGAATTAAAACCCACTTTGGGGTACTTTCCACAAATATCCACTGAGCACATCTCAGACGCGCCCTGTATGGCAGGAGCTTCACTGAGCTGCCCTCCTGGGTCCACTAAAACCTGTGCTCATCAGAAACACAAATGAGAAAAACCATGGCCGGGCCACGTGTGCTGGGGCTGGAGCTGCAAGTCTGTTGCTCACAAGCGTTTGTCTGTTGTAGGGCCTGGGCCTGGCTTGGGGTGGATAAAGGGACTGGGACAAGGAGGCCTGAACTTTAATTGTGATCCCGAGCATCTGGCAAGTCAATGATGCTGCAGAGCCCTTGGAAGCCTGAGCCCCTGGGTAGAAGAAGGTGGGGTGGCCTGCATGTCCACTGGCTGAGCGTCGCCATCAATGTGCAGCAAGTCTGCAGCCTGGCCTGGGCAGACCCCTGGACTGCGCTGAGGCCCTGAGCCTCAGGGGCTCTCAGCTACCTTTTCACCTGTCAAAGGAGTTGGGCAACCAATCAGAGGGGCACCCGAGTGGCCAACAGACACCTGACACAGCTTCTCTCTCTCTTCTCCCCACCCTAGGGAAGGTGAGGGTAGAGGGGGAGGAGTTGCCCAAGGCCTCATGTCAGGACCCACTCCACATGTTAAAGCATTAAACATGTCACCTTCAGGTCCCTTCCAGCTAGAACATTCTCCGATGGGCACTGCCAGCCCCACCTCCTGCTCCTCTCTCTCTGCCTTGGCACTGGATCTCCCTCAGCCCTGTCTCCCTGACCACACAGCCCATAGCCACTTCCACTTTACCCTGCATCCACGGCCTGAGGCCTGCCTGCGGACTCACCCTACAAAGAAGGGGGGTTGCTCATGGCCCTTGATGCCTTCCGGCATGCCCCAGGCCAAGGGTCGGATAGCAGAGGGCCCTGCAGGGGGCCCAGCTAGCTCCCCTGCAGAGACAGGGGGAAGAGTGCTTCGCGCAAAGGGCCGTCATGGAGGTTGCCAGAGACCCCGGCCAAGGGACCCTGGAGCTGACTGGAAAGCCGAAGAGGCCCCATCTGTCATTTTTCTCTGGGCAGTTAGTTACACAGATGAAGCTTGAGTGTGCAAGCTGCTTTTCATGACATTCCTAGACGTTCCAGAAAGGAGCACAATAGCACACTGCCAGCCTCACAGGCACAGTTTGGTGATTCAGAAAGCTGATGGTGGGTTGCTTCATGTGAGAAATACTTGTCAGTGACTCTGGGGTCAGCTGCAAGGGCTTCACAGATGAGGCCTTGGGGCACAGTAGGCATAATTGAGGCATTCTGCACAGAGGGGATAGCAGGTGCAAAGGCCCTGGGACATGGCCAAGTGAGGGAGGCCAGGGCATGGTGGGGGAGGGTGGGCTGGAAGGAAGGCAGGGCCAGACAGAGCCACAATGCAGGAAGCCCCTCAGGGAGTTTGAGGGGCTGTGACAACACCATCTCTCCCCTGCTGACAGTGCTGCTTTCAGATTTCCTGACTGAGTTCAAACAAATTAGCACAGGCTCCCTTTGGTTCTCGCAGTGCCACCCTGTGGCAGCAGTAGCACTCAAATAAGGGGGTTCCCTCCTCTCACTTTGTCCCTGAAGTCCATCATGCCCTAGAAATGCTCCATCCCTCCATGGGAGCCCAAAAACTCCTCAAGGTTTTCCCAGTGCCTGGCAGTCAGAGACACGTCGGGTCAGGGTTCGTGTGGTGGCCTGGCAAAGTGTCTGCTCTTGTAACAGAGCAGGGTACTGGAGCATCTGGGCACATCTGCTCTGGGGCCTCAGCTGGGGCCCAATGCTACCCAGCAGCATGGATTGTGTGGGAGGAGGGGACTAGTTTTCTTACTGAAAATCTAAGTCACTACAGGAACATTTACTCCCCGTGATGAGCTAGACATCCATCCCTCCCTCTGCTGCTGTCCCAGGAAAGTCAAGTCCCACCACAAGGCCTTTGAGCCAAAGGCCAGGTCTCCTCACCTATCAAGCCCGTTTCCTGTTCCTAAAATGGGTTGACCCTAACAAGTGCCAACCCAGAATGGCTGTGATGACCAGCAGGGTGGCCCTTGTAGCCAGAAAAGAAGGAGCTCTGCAAGTTGGTGCTAAATTCAGGCAGACTTTGCTGTCCAACTGGGGAGCACCTGCCACCAAGGGAGTGCTGGCCCAGATGAGGGATGTGAGAAAGAGAAGTGGGGGGGGGAGGGAAGGAGAGAATGTGGGGGCAGTACCGACCTACCCATGGAAGAAGTTCCCCTTTAGGAGCAAACCCCCTGTTAGGGGTCAGGCTAGGGCTCAGGCCTCCACTCATTCCTTCTGAGCCTGGAAAACTGAGGGATAGGGCAAAGCGAAGATGCCCAGGAGAATCCCCTCTCAGGATGCAGGGTACAGCACCTCCTTGGTAGTCTAGGCTTATAATTGTCATCAGACTTCACGACTATTAGGCCCAGTGGTTAATAATGATGCTTCCCTGTACTGGATACTCACTGCATGCGAGGTGCACACATTTACCCTGTTACTAATCTCCCAAACTGACAGAGCAGGAGGGACTCGGGCATAGTCCCGTGGCCTGGCCCTGTCAGGGTGGGGACATGCACACAGGCTATCTGACCCTGGACCACGCCTTCTCAGCCCACATTGACTGAGCCTCCTGAGGGCCAGGTACCGCCTTGATCCACATTTCATCCAGGCACACTTTATCTGTGGTAAAGAGCACAAGTCTTCAGAAGAACTCAGCTGTGTAACCTTCACCCACCCAAGGAAATGGACATTTGGGTCCCAGCGGGCTTGCCCCAGCCCTCCACCAACAGGCCCCAGAGGCCATCACTGTGAGGACCCAGGTCACATGGAAGGGGGAGGCTAAACCCTCACCCTCAGGTCACCCTGGTCTGACCCCAACTTCCACCTCCCACCCCGTCAAAGCTGTGTGTGGGGGGGTCACTCACCCCTGCAGCACCCCCTCCACCAGTGGCTACCGCTGCAGGCACCTCTGAGTTGGCACTCACCATCTGGAGGGGACAAGACAGCTGGCATGAGCAGAGGTTCTGTGGTCACATGCTGACATCCAATGCAGTGTTGGAATGCCACCATTCCTTCTGTCTGGTCACAGGGTCAGGATGAAGACTGTCAGGGCCTGGTGTTTGCTATGACTTTGGGAATCTGTCCTCCCTGGTCTGAAGGCATCTCAGAAGAGTTATCATTTTCCCAGCTGGGGTGGAGGGCGGTGGGCAGGTATGAACCTCCTTGAGGCCCGCCAGGCCTAACCAGCTGCATCACACCATGCGAGGTGGCCCTGGCCTCTAGCTTTCCTCAGGCATCTGTGGAGCACTCGGTGCCCTGCCTTCTACGGTCAAGCTCTGTCTCTGCACCAACTTTAAAGGCAGGTATGGGGTGGGGTGGGGGGTTCTGTTTCCAGGTCACCTCTTTTCAAGGTAGGGGACAGTACTTTCCCTGCCCGGGGACAACACAAAGTTTTCTTCTAAAATAGTCCAGAAAGCAGACAAAATGGAGATTTGATGCAAATATTAAGTGGATAATGAGGTGGCCTGTGGCCCACAGACCAGTGAGACCACAGGGAGGGCCAACCAGGCCTGGTGTCTGGGACTCAGGGCTGCTCAGCCAGGCTGGGCTGGGTATCCCTTAGCTTCAGGGATGTCCCTGAGGCATGGAGTGAGGGACCCTCACTGTGAAGTCATGTTTGGTTGTACCCAGACAGAGGGGATGGCCAAGGTCTAGGGTGGACCCATCTGGCCCTGGGTGGGGATCCTGCTTCCTGGCTCCCCCCCAGGCCTGGGGACAGCTTCCCATGGGGAGCAAGCTACCCCTGCTGATAAGATCACAGCCCCTAGGTGCATGTGATAGGACAATGCTTCATGTAGCAGCTTTATCCAGGCCTGTCCTTCCCTCCCTCCTGTCCAAGTGCTGACCACCCCAGCTATAAGGCATAGGTGTCCCCACATGGATGCTCAGTAAAGGTGGGCATGAGGAGAGCATGGGGACCAGCTTCCCTCCCAAACACCAGTCCTTGTGCAAAGGGCCTGGGTTGCCCCAGGGACACTGGCACTCACAGGCGGGTCTGGAGTGAGGGAGGAATCCTCATCCTGGCTGAAGGAGCCACTGAAGGCCTTGAAAGTCTGGCTGTTCTGCTTGTGCTTCTCAATGGTGGCCTTAATGACCTGAAACAAAACCACAAAGAACAAGGGCCCTCAGAGAGCATTCCAGGAGGGTGAGGACAAGGGTCCTGTGGTCATTGCGTTTTCCCCTGACCAACAGCCTCACATGTCCTCTGAGATGAGGAAACAAGGCTCAGGGATGTGATCAGTGACTGACCAGGTCCCCATTCCAATCTCCATGGGTCCCAGTGCCACCCCACATGCAGTACTCCAAGCCAAGGGCAGATGCTCTTGGAACATTTTATATGGATTCGAGGCCATGTTTCCATTTCCTGCAACAGCATTCCCATCTAATATCTGTTTGAGTTTCCTTTTTCTCTTCTCACTCAGATTTCTGTCTTATGAATTTTGGGAGCCACTAATGGTGGCTAACCATCACTAATGGTTAGCATTTGTCCTGGTGGTGTCTGCCAACCCCGGTCACTTCCTTGGCCTCCGCTCTGACGTGGCCCTCCTGACCTGCGTCCCTACCATGGCTGGCTCTGAGCTGAGCCTGCTCTGGCTGCCCCAGGACACTGCCTGGCCTGTCTTTGGAAGCACAGGCTCCGTCCTGGAAGTCAAGCTGCTCGTCCTGCAAGAACCACCGCTTCTGCCAGCCATGGAGAGAAGGACAACATGGACCCACCTTGGAGCTGCCAGATGGTGGAGATCCTCCCCAGGGTGAGGGCACCTCCCTGCATGCCCACCTCCAGGCCTTTATGTTTGTTTACTGGGGAGCCCCAAAGAAGAGAATGGATTCAAAGTTTTGTGGAGTCTGAAGGTGCTTATAAACTTGGTCACCCCATCACTTCAAGGTGGATAGATGGGTGGGTAATACCTGGGGGGGGACACGGGGCCATCCCAACCCTTGCTCCAACATGAGATGGCCATACCGCTCAAGAATTTGGTCATTTGGTTACTTTAAAACTTTAGGAGCTTCACCTGAATCCATTCTTTCTTTTCCTCTTCTGTCCTATAAAAGCCAAAAGAGTATTTTATTCATTTAGTCTTGGATACTGACTCTAAACCACCTGATTCCTCTCAGCCCTACAGTACATGCCTGTGCTGCTCACTGCCTGGAAGTGAAACTCCAGGCTTGGGAGACTGGCCCCAAAGGCTCTGGAACACTGTGGCCAGTATCACCAGGTACAGTCAGGCGAGGTCAACCTGTGGCCAGGTGGAGTTAAGTGTGGTCTTGTGGGTGCAGGTGGGGTCAGGTGTGATCAGATGAAGTCAGATGTGGCTAGATGTGGTAAGCTTGGTATGCAGAGCCCTCTGCAGTGGATGTAAGCCAACACTTCCCTGGGCCACAGTGGGTCATTGCAAAGATCTCACGTCATTGGCGGAAGTGAGAGATGGGCTCTCCCAAGCCCTGCCACAAGTCACGCACCATCTTACAGGGTAGTGTGACAATAGCCACCAAAATTTAAAGTGGACATGCTACCCTTTGGCCAGCAATTTTACTTCAGGAATCTACCAGATGGACGTAACGACACATGTGTACAAAACTTGGTTCATGGACACTGCTTGCAGCACCATTTGCAACAGCAAGACCCCAGAGGACCTAGGTGCTCATCAATGGGAACCAGCCAACGATCATATTGGAAAACTATGCTGCTTTAGAAAACGGTGCTCATATATGGGATGATTTCTGATAAATTAAATGAAAAAAGCAAGATGCAGAACAGACTAGATTGAAAATGGTCATCTGTAATTTAAAAAATAGATACAGGGCTTCCCTGGTGGCACAGTGGTTAACAGTCCACCTGCCAATGCAGGAGACAAGCGTTCGAGCCCTGGTCTGGGAAGATCCCACATGCCGTGGAGCAGCTAAGCCCATGCGCCACAACTACTGAGCCTGCATTCTAGAGCCCGCGTGCCACAACTACTGAAGCCCACGCGCCCTAGAGCCCGTGCTCTCAACAAAAGAAGCCACCACAATGAGAAGCCTGCGCACCACAACCAAGAGTAGCCCTTGCTCGCTGCAACTAGAGAAAGCCCGCGCGCAGCAACAAAGACCCAACGCAGCCAAAAATAAATAAATAAATAAATAAATAAATAAATTTATTTTTAAAAATAAATAAATAAAATTAAAAATAGATACATATGTATGGGGACAGAAATTCTGGAAGGATACTTCAGAGATGGTTAAGAATGTCTGCTGAGGGTGGGGAACAGGGGGTGGGCAGAGGCTTAATTTTCACTGACTTCCCCTTAGTACTGTTACATTTTAAACCACAAATAAGGGAGTAAAATGAATACAAACACATCGAAAGTTTATCCAGTTTAGAAAAGGAAGCCATCTGCTAAAATTTCAGGTCAAACACATTCACACAGCAGCAGACACCAAGGCAGCTGAAACCTACCGAGTTTGTAGCTCCAGGGACCTTTTCTTTCCAGTTATGATGAATGTGTGGGCTGCATTTGACTTGACCACATCCTGCACCTGAAGGCATACAACAAAGGACAAAACAAAAACAGTAGGTCACTTTTAGCAGGTCCTGAACTGTGGACTCACACTCTCAGACTTGGAGGTCTTTCCCTGAGAAGGGGGGGCAGAGGTGACCCAGTTAGTCTGCAGGGGAATGCTCGGCTTAGTGTCATGGTTGCTGTGGGCCACTCCATGAGTCAGTCCATGGTGGAGGGTGGACCACCGACCTGCTCAGGCAGGGCTAGGACCACTCATCCACTGTTTTTGGAACCGTGCCGGCCAAATCTGCCTGCTCTCAGGGCTTCCCAGGAAGTCAGCCCCAGTGCCTTTCCCCACAAAGGTACCCACAGGCACTCCCGACACAGGGATGGGAATCTTAGGAGAAGAGCCAGGAGGATCTCCACTACTCTGCTGGGGTTTCTGAGGCCCCATGGGCAGGTACCTTCTATCTGCAGGTGTCTGCAACAGGGAGCCTTCCCTCATCCCCTCGACACTCTACTCCCACAGCCCTTGGCTGGATATGGCCCACAGGCTGGCCACTGTCAGAAGGGATTTTTTTGTATCACTAATGCAACCCTTCACTTTTTAGAATAAAGAAATACTTTGATTTAGCCAGTATTTTTGGAGTGCCCGTTAATTCAAAGCACTGTCCCACAGGAGAGGGGGACTGACCCCAGCTCCAGCAGCCCCACAGCACATCAATGGACTCAAGGAATAGGGACAGCAGGGACAATAGGTCATCTAGACCTTGGGTACAAGTGCCTGCAGAACCTCATCTGGGCTCCAAATTGGTGCAGGGGTGGAGAGAGCATGGACCAAGGACCAGGGAACAGGCAGGATGGGCACCCCATCTGCATTCACCCCACGTTTCCCTTAGAGTCTGTAAATGGGGCCCTTAGGGCTGACTTCACAGGGGACAGGAGATGGCCCAGGTCCTGGCATTGTCCTTCATCCTGCCAACATGAAGCCAGCAGCGCACTGGCAGGTAGGCCAAGTGGAGGGACAGGGGATCCTGCCCATTCAGCCCAGGATGCTAGGCCAAGGTGCCCTCAGAGATGTTTCCCCCATGCCTGGGTCAGGATAGAAGCAAGGCTCAGAGAAGCAGGCAGGCAACCAGTTGCACAGCAGTGAGTACTTTGGCGGCTAAAGCGCTGTGTCCCTACACCTGCTCTGTGCTTTCTCAGGGGAACAGATCGGTGGGAGGGGCTCACCCACCTGGAGGCCGGAAATGTCCATCTTCTCCCGGACACTGAACTTCTGACCCATGAGCCGCAGTTTGGGCACACAGTAAAGGATCATGCTGTTGAACTGTGATAGTGACGGGCACGTATGTGGTGAGGGGCAGTTGACTGCACAGAGGAGCACCCCAGGGAGGAGGTGGGGCGTGGCTCTGGCAGGAGTGGGCAGGGCTAGGTGGGGTTGGGCTGAATGTGGGCGTGGTGAGGGCACGCTGGGAGTTGGGCTGGGGGAGTGGCTTAGTGGTGGGGCGGGGCTCTGCATCTGGTTGGGCCTGGGGTGGGTGAGGGTGTGGCTGAGTGGCTGGGTAGGCCCAGGCTCTGCCCCTGGGCTGGGTGTGGCGTGGCAGGAGCGTGGTTCTGCAGCTGGGCTGGGCAGGACTGGGCAGGGCTGGATGTGACCAGATGGGGGCTCACCAGGAAGAGGTGGCGGTCCTGGGTCGTGCCATTCTTGGCTGATAGCTTCTGGATGTGGCCCTCCTTGATCAGCTCGTTCGCAGGGTTGACGATGTCCTCCTCCCCACCCAGTCTCTCGTATACCTCCAAGAGCTTGTGCATTTTCTCCTGAGAGAGACACAGGGCTCAGGCAGCTGCACAGCCACAGGGATTGGAGGCCTGCCAGGGCTGGGGACCCAGAGATGTGTGGAACCCTGCCCTGCAAGTGCGGTCCAGAACCAAGGAGGGACCACGATCCTGCTGACAACGGTGGGAGGGAAAACACGGGCCTTGAAGAACAGAGGTTCACCTTGCAGAGAGTAATAAATAATAACAGCACCATTGCTATGAGCTACACCCTGTTCTAAACACAATGTGGGTATTAATTAATTTAATTCTAGCACCCGCCTTAAGAGGCAGATGCCATTACTATCCTCAATCTATAGACAGAGAAACTGAGGCACAGAAAAATCAAGTGAGTTTCTGGAGATGTTTCAGCTAGGGAACTGGGACTGGCTCTCTTAGCCTCCCCAGGGAAGAGCATTGGGTCAGAGGAGATACGTTGGGCAGCTGCAGCTTTTGCCCTGGACGGTCATTCCCTCTTGTTGTAGCCTTACCTGGTTTCCTGCTCCACCCTCAGATGGCCCAGGGCCATGATGAGACCAGACATCTGCCTATCCGCAGGTCATCGCCCTCTGTTCTCGAGACTGGTTGTATGGTCATATGGCCAACCAGCACCCTTGTGGTGTGAGGGGAGAGGGTAGGCAGCTCATTGCTCCAGCTCTGGGCCAAGAGGCCACAGGCCCTGACCAGGGGCTTGAGCCAGGAATGAAGGAGTGAACTCAGCAAAAGGCAGAGCTGAGCCTACAGGAACCTTAACCCAGCAACAAGGAGCATGGATCCACCATGCTACAGCAGCCACTGCCCTTGGACCTGACCAACCTTAGCCTACACTCCCTGGAAGCAGGCTGGTTTGGTAGCTCTTCTGCCTCTGGTATGGAAACAGGTGGTAGATGCGGGCATGGGAGCAGGAGGGGAAGCCAGCATGGAGAGTGAGGAAAAGCGGGCTAGGCAGGGCCAAAGGGCCTTGTGTGTACTGGGAGCTGGGCGTGCAGTGGACATGTAGGAGAGCTTATGTGTGTACCTGTGAGGCAGTGGCAGGCCAGGAGGCTTCTGGACAGGGAGTGACAAAATAAGCAACCCATAGAAAGCTCTGAGTAGAGAAGTACGGACCAGACACCAGGGAGACTGGAGGTGGGGGGGCTGGGGCGGTGGTCCAGTTTGAGGGGATTAGGGATGGACAGGTGGAAGCATGAAGAGGGTCCCATGAGCACACATTGATAAGCCTTCCCCCACACCTGACCAGAGCCCCCTGCCGGTCACAGAGGCCTCAACAGACTTGGAACGAGAACTGCCACACGGTGGACATGCTATTGTGGGACAGGAGTCTACCCCAAGCCCCTCAGAGATGTAGGCCCATGGGGGCTCCTCCATGGGCTCTGTGTGAGCTCATGACCATGGAGTTCCATGAAGCAGCTCTTTCTCCTCCATTAGATTTAGTCTTGGGGAGGAAAAAAAGGGGAAATTAGATTAAAAGGATCTAGAGTGAAATGTCACCTGTTTAGGTTGCCATGGGTGCCCCACTGTGGGCCTGACCTCAGGCGCATCTGGTCTGGGGGCTACAGACCCAATCCCAGGGACAGGCAGGTAATGAGGACACAGGACGTGGACCACACATAGCAAGAGCTGCCCCAAAACAGGCGGCCCGTCTCTCATTTCTCCTTTTTGAGAGATGTGGGGTCAAAGAAATATTTCACTTTCTTTTTCCTCTCAAAAAACAACAGTGCCCATGTGAAAGTAAATAGGTCTCAGGACTGAGGCAACCAGGGCTGGGTAGGGACTGTGGAGGCCTGGAGAGCCAGCCCACTTAGGGGGCACCTCGCCTCGTCCCAGGTTGTAGTGTGGGCCTGGGGTTTTCAGAGTTTTCCAGTAAAGCCAGGAATTTGGATTCTCCTGTGAAATGACCTGATCTCTAATTCTGGGCAAGGATTTAGAAATTCTTACACCATGTCCAGGCAGTGTGCAGGCCAAACAAGGGCCTCTGAAGACAGGGCCCACTGTGTCAAAAGGCATTGGTATGGGCTAGGAGGCCTCCCCATAGGCAGAGCCTATTACTCCGGGGCATTAGATCAACAAGAGAACACCATCTCCTCCACCTTCAGGCTGTATTTGGAGGTGGGGCCTTTGGTAGGTGATTAAGTTTAGATGAGGTCATGGTCATGGGGTGGGGGAGGGGTGGGAGCATGATTAGATTAGAGCCCTATTAAGAGAGACACCAGAGAGCTTGCTTTCTCTTTTTGCCACGTGAGGACACAGCGAGAAGGTGGCTGTCTACAAGCCAGGAACCAAATCCGCCAGCACCTTGGTCTTGGACTTCCAGCCTCCGGAATGGTGAGAGTAAATGTCTGCTGTTTAAGCTGTCCAGTCTACAATACTTTGTTAGAGCAGCCCCAGCTGACAGAGCTTCAGTGAGTGAATGAACGAACAAATGAATGATGCTAACACCACGAGCTAACACTAAATTATGCCAGGTCCTGTTCTGAGCACTTTATGTAGAATGATTTAATCCCCACAACAGCCCAATGAGACAGATTCTGTCAGTGACCTCATTTTACAGATGGGGAAACTGAGGCATGGAGTGCTATATAACTTACCAGCAATCACCAAGCTAGTAAGGGACAGGCCTGTCTGGCTCTCAGTGGAGTCTCTGTCTTCCTGGGGGACAGGTGGGTGAGTATGCATGCTGACAGTACTTGGCCCACCCTGTGCCCTCCCTGCCCCAAACTACTGGTCCCTTGGGGATCTTCCAGGGTCACCACACTCACCATTTTCCGAATGGCAGTGTTGGAGTGGTTGGCAGCTGTGGAGATGAGCTCCAAGGACCCTGCAGGAAGAAGACAGAGTCAAGCTGCAGGGCGCCTGGTGGCTCCACCCAGGTAGTCGCCCCACGAGGCTTAGTGTCAGGTTCTGCCCTGCTCCTGCCCTTTCCCACGGCTGTACCAGGCTGCTCATGAGACCTGGCCCTGGGTGTGGGCGTGCAACCCTGCAGACGCATCCCATTTGCTGGGGGTCCGCCGGGGCTGGCATGCCACTCCCCTGTGCAGACCTCGCTCCATGCTGCCTGCCAGCTGCTGCCCATGCACCAGGAGCAGCCTTGCCAGCCCCATAAGGTCCTCTGTGAGGCCTAAGCTCTGCCAACACTTAGCAGCCCCCTCCACAGAACCATCATCCACCCCTCGCACTGCAATGGGGGCAGGGGCGGTTTTCCCTTACACTCAGACTCTCAGTCATCTCCTTGTTTAGGGGTCACTTGGAGCTCTCTCCGTCTCTCTGTCTCTATCTGTCTCTCTCTATCTCTTTGTCTCTCTCTTTCTGTCTCTGACTCTCTGTCTCTCTCAATGTGGGTTTTCAGCAGGGGCCCCAGCTCCCACTGCCCAGGAGCCCCTCAGCCTGTGGCCGGCTTGGCTCACTCTCTGCATCCTTCCAGTCTGGGGCATCCTCTGGGAGCCTCTTCAGATAGTCCTTGAGCAGCAGCTCATAGCGGGGGACCCTCTGCACGGGCTCCAGCATATGGTGCTGCAGCGTCAGGTTTCCGCACATCTCCTGCTTCTGTGGGGGAGATAGAGGCAGTTTGGGACACCCATGGACACACATGTGGATCCCCCAGGAGGCTGCCTGGAGTACTGTACCCAACTGACTGCAGACCACATCTTACAGCAGAGGAAACTGAGGTTTGGAGAGGTTGAACGATGGAGTAAGGAGCTGGACCCCAGGCAGGCCTGCTCTAGACCCAGCGCTGGCCTTTTTTTTTTTTTTTTTTTTTTTTTTTTTTTTTTTTTTTTTTTTTTTT